TTTCTCTCTCCCATTCCCTCTCTCTAAAAATAAATAAGTAAAAAAGATACTGTATATAAAGCCCTCAGTGAAGTGTTTTCTGTGCCTTTTCCCTTCTTTCTCTCAGTAATTCTATGAGCTAATAATAACAGTGCACACTTCTTAAGCATTTACTTTATGCAGCTTCACATATATTAATTCATTTAATTCTCACAACAACCTGGTGAGGTGGGTACAATTGTCCGCATTTCCGCACTGAGGAAACAGAGGCACAGAGAGGTTAAATGATTCGCCCTCTCACACATCTAGCCAATGGTATAATCAGGAGAAACCCAGCTAGTAAGAGGTGGAGCCAGGATTCATGCCCCGTTCTATCTGTTATTCCCATTTTACAGATGAGAAAACTAAGGCTTGGAGAAGTTCAACCTGACACACAACCAGTCAGTGGTAAAATCAGCTTCCAGAGAGTGTCCATTGGCCTCAGTCCCTCTGCCCTTTACCATGCTGCTGGGTTTTAAGGGAGAGATGGATGCTCAGATGCTTAGTTCTACTCCAGACACACGGATTGAGGTGATGGTGAAACAGCCTAGCAAAAGTCTATCTGGTAGCTAGAGATGTGACATTTGAATCTGCTTCACTGGTGCCTGCCGAGCGTCTAGAAGAGTGCCTGGCATGTGGTTTGTACTCAGTGATTAATAATGAGAGGCAAGTGGTCAAATTGAAAGTATCTGGGGAGTAGGTCCAGTGGAAGTGATGGTTGAGTGCTGGGAATCACAGGAGCCCTACGTGACTCAGAAATCTGTCCCAGAAGGGACCACTGCTCTGGAGACTTGGTCCTCTGTGGCGGGGCACCAGGAGGCTCGGGGGTGGAACTGTGGGCTTTGTATATGGCAGACCTGGGTTCAGATTCCTGTTTTGCCAGCATACCAACTACACAACTTCAAATGAGACCTTGGACCTTGCTTTTTTTAGATTTTTACTGAAGTGTAATGGGCCTACCCAACTGTACAAATCATATGTATTCTATATATTCATATAGAATATAATCAGCGTTCAGATCAAGAGAGTACATGAGTGGTGTCCCAGGAGCCCCACCTTTGTTCCCCTTTCTGATCACTGTTACCCCTCCACGGGTAATACCGTAGATTACTTTTACCTGTTTTTGTGTTCTTACATATGTGTTTTTTTCATTTTACACAATGTTGACGAGATTCACTCATATTGCTGTGTGTTGTTGAATATATCATTCTCATTGCTGTATTAGAATTTCATTGTCTGAATGAATACAACACTTGAGTGAGGACCCAAGGATATGTTTGTTTTGTTTTTTAGAGAGAGAGAGTGAGAGAGAGAGAAACATGGATCAGTTGCCTCCTGTACATGCCCCGACCAGGGATCGAACCCACAACCTTTTGGTGTATGGGGTGATGCTCGAACCAACTGAACCACTTGGCCAGGGCTGAATATGAGTATACCACATTTTTTAAAAAGATTTGATTTATTTTTAGAGGGAGGGGAAGGGAAGGAGACAGAGAGGGATAGAAACATCGATGTGAGAGAGAAACATTCATTGGTTGCCTCTCGTACGCACCCCAACCCTGGGCCAAACCTGGGAATCCAACCGGTGACCTTTTGCTTTTCAGGGCATTGCCCAACCAACTGAGCCACACCAACCAGGGCTGAATACACCACGTATTAAAGTCCATTCCACAATTGGTGAGCGTTTGGGTAGGTCCAGCTTTGGGCTGTCGGGAGAATTGTTGTGAACATTTCGTGTTTGTCTTTCAGTTCACATCGAATCATGCACACTTCTGTTGGGAAGACACCCAGGAGTGGGGTTGCTGGGGTGCAGATATTGCACTTTCATAGTTAGTGACAAACAATATGACATTTCTAGTTGCTTTACATTTTTGCCGACACTTGATTTCTAAATTTTTTTCGTTTTAGCCATTCTGTTGCATGTGTAGTGGTAGCATATTGTGGTTTTAATTTGCATTTCCCTGGTGACTAATGAGTGTGAGCCCCCTTTCATGTGTCTATTAGTCATTTGGGCAGCTTTTATGAAATGCCTGTTTGAATCTTGTGTCCACATTTAAAGTCAGTTGTCTGACTTTTTCTTACTGACTTTGTAGGACTTCTTTATATATTCTGGATTCGAATCCTTTGTCCTTTGTCAGATGTTGTAAATATTACCTCCTAATCTGAAGGTCACCTATTTATTCTCTAAATGCTATCTTTAGATGAACAGAAGTTCTTGTTGTGATTTATGAGTGCAGTTCAGCAAATTGCTCTTTTATGATTATCCCCTTTGTGTCTTGTTTAAGAAATCTTTGTCTACTTCACAGTCATGAAATCATTCTCCTATTTGTTTAAAAGATTTTTTAAATTTATTCTTGGATTGAGGAGAAGGGAGAGAGGTAGAGAGGGAGAAAAACATCTATGTGAGAGAGAAACATCAATTGGTTTGCCTTGCCCCCACCAGGCAGAACCCGCAACCTAGGCATATGCTCTGACTAGGAATTGAACCAGCGACCTTTCGCTTTGTGGAATGACACCCCACCAACTGAGCCATACCAGTCAGGACTTAAATCCCAAACTTTTGCATTTAAAGCTACAGTCCATCTGGAACTGAATGTGTGTTTGGAGGGCGACAGGAGTGCAGATGTATTTTCCCTATTTGTATGTCTAGTGGACCCAGCTCTGCTTATGGGGGAAGACCACTTTCCTTCACATCGGCGCAGTGTTGCCTTGGTTACTAACCGTATGATCATAGACATGTGTGTCTGCTTCTGGATTCTCTTTTCTGTCCATTGGTCAACGTTTCTACCCTTCCACCCAAACCAGTCTGTCTCAAATACTACAGCTTTATCCTAAGTCTTTTTTTTTTTCTTTATGTTTTTTCTGTTTAATCCTAAGTTGTTGTTGTTTTAACACCTTTCAACAAGTATTTATTATTAGGTAAGCCATGATTCAGGATCCTAGGGTGGGATGTACCCAGGTCCCCCTTCACCTCTCTGGGAGGATGGAGGACAGAGGACAGGTGGGCAGCCAGTTCAGATCTTCCCAAGAAACATGCCTTCTGCCCAGCAGTCATCTCAGACTGACACCCAGGATACGGGGCAAAGGGACTGGTACCTGCTGTAGTACCATTCCCACACAGAGACATCATCCCTTGTAGCAGTCATTGCCTTCGCACAGTGGTGGGAGTCCAGGAAGTTCTACCAGTAGTTCCTGGTCTGGTTCTGGTTAGGGAGTGACTATCAAAGGGGCAGTCTGGTAGTTCTCGATTTTGGTCTTAATGTCTTCTGCCATGTTGCTCAGCCCTAAAGACACTCCTACCCCAGCTGGTGTAGCTCAGTGGATTGAGCACCGGCCTGTGAACGGAAGGGTCACAGGTTCGATTCCCAGTCAGGGCACATGCCTGGTAGGCCAGGTCCCCAACTGAGGGTCTGTGAGAGGCAGCTGGTTGATGTTTCTCTCCCTCTCTTTCTTCTTCCCTTCCCCTCTCTCTAAAAGTAAAATTAAAAAAAAAATTTTAAGTATGGAAAAAATAATAAGAAAATAAAGACACTCCTGAAGCCACTCTCAGCTCAATGTGGCCCTCAGCAAAGATCCTGAGTCCTGATATCGAGTTGTGTAAGTCCTTTTGCTTTGCTCTTCGTGAACGCCCAGGCTGCTCTCAGCGCTTTGCATTTCTGTATGAACTTGAGACTAGTTTATCAGTTCCCACGCCCCCAAAATAACCCTGAGGTTTTTGACTGGGACTATGTTGAATATACAGATTAATTTATTTTTTCTAATATTGAGTCTTCCATTCCATGAATATGATGTAGGTTTGTATTTTTTTCTCTTAAAATTTTTATGAAAAATTTCAAACATCTAGAAAAGTGGGAAGAACTAGTACAATGAATTCCTAAACATTCACCATCTAGATTTAATAGTTGTAGATATTATAGACACTTTACCTATAAATATTTTAACATATATCTTCAAAATCCAAGGATAACTTCCAACATAACCACAATTCCATGATCACATCTAGGAAGATTCGTAGTTCCCAAATTTGTAATCTGTAGTTGTTTTTCCCAGTTACCCTCCAAATGTCCTTTGTTGCTCTGTTTTATCTTCTTTTTCAAAACAGTCTCCAGTCTAGGATCATGCATTGCTTGTTTACATCTCCTAAATCTCTTCTAACTTAGAATCATCCCGGCCTTTTTTTTTTTTTTTGATTGTCCTAAATTGTTTATTAGGTAAGAAGTTTACAACCATTACTTATATTAGCTATAATGGTGGAGCTAGAGAGTATTGTGCCTTCTCCAAGCAGCATGGTGAGAACCACCAATAGTGTGGCAGGAACGTGGCCCTTCCAAGGCCATGGCTCTTGCTGCCTGCAGGTGGTAGCCCTTGCATCTCCCTCTGCTTGTGGACTGGTTTACTGATCCATTGGGTGTCAAGGTTCCTCCTGATGGCCTTATGTAATGCGCAGACTGAGACACGAGCCCCCTGTCTTTTTGAAAGTGACTGACTTTTGTTGGAGATCAGGATAGTCAATATCCTGGAGATCAGGTCTTGTCAATATGCTCAATTCCGGATCTGATTGTTTGCCTGTAGCATTGTTTACTTTGTCCCTCCATGTCCAGAACTGCCTGGAAATTGAAACCTGCGTCTAGACTTGAGCAGATACAAATAAACCTCACTAAGCTTTACTGGCCTCCTTCTCTGATAGCCCTCGTCAGAGCTGTGTGAGGCCAGCTGTGTGCGAGCAGGTGTGTAAAACGCATTACAGTCTCAGTAAGTGGCAGCAGTTCTTAATGTCTGTCCCCACCTTAGGCTAGCATTTTACCCTAATATTTGGTCTCTGGAACCAAATGTTATGAGTAGTTATGAGAAGTTATTAAGAGAATATTAAGAGAAGTTATGAGGCTTCTCTTGTCCCAGCCAGGCAGCACTGGCTTCCCCCCAGCTGGGGCTCCTGACCCCAGGCTTGGACACCCCCCACCTTTCTCTCCTCCTGCCCCCAGACAACACAGGCAGCTCCACATACCGGCCGCCCCCGCGGACCCGGGAGGTGATGATCAATGGGCAGATGGTGAAGTTGAAGTATTGCTTCACCTGCAAGATGTTTCGGCCACCCCGGACCTCACACTGCAGTGTCTGCGACAACTGTGTGGGTAAGTGAGGGGCCTCAGGGAAGGATGTGGGGAGCCCTGAGAGAGAGGGAGACCTGGAGACAGGGGAGTCACTGGTGTAGGGGGTGGGCAGCCTGTTGGGAATATCTGGGGCTGAGCAGGAAGTCTGGTTCACTCAGGTGTGCTCTGACTGAAGAGGAACCTGAGTGTGACCAGTGGTGTCTTGGCTTCAGCCCACGATTGGTGGATTCTTTCCCCCCAGTTCTGAAGTGTGGGGCAGACACAGGGAGGCCCTGAACTCTTCTCCCAGGCCTCAGCCTCTTCCTCAGTAGGTCCAAGGTCCCAGGAACCAGAGACTGGAACAATAACTTTCTAGATTTGTTTGGTCCAGAAAGGGAATGATTTGTCATCCAGTGCCCAGGACCAGCTATACTAAAAGCCTTTAATCTGATTCCCAGGGTTTGGGAGAGACAAGAACCTGGGAATAGAAGGTGGAGAGGATATAGCTGGGATTGGAGGCTAAGCAGCCAACCCACAACTGCAGTGGTTTCTGGGTAACCAGAGGCTGTTTTGTCCCCTCTCCCTGCTCTCCAGGGGCTGGGAAGCTCTGATAGGGACCAAGGTGTGCCCCTGGGAGGGTGTCGTAAGGGAAATACTATGCAAGAGGACCCAGGTGAGGTAAGCCACAGTGACTGTGCACAGTCTCCAGGGAAGTGAGCTCATCACACTGGCTCAGCATTCCCTGAGCAAGAGAACAGTGGGGAACACCCCACGATGGCAGGCAGTGAAGTGGGTGACTCAGTGGGCGTCATTCATCCATGAGAATCTGCCCTGCCCACCCCCTGCAAAGGGTGCTGGCCTTGGTATGAGGCCTGCAACGGGCTTATGACCCATATTCCCACAGGGGACTTTTCTCACCAGCCTGGGTGTGACCCTACCCCCGGGGCGTGGTACCGGTGCGAGATCAGGCCTCTGATGCCAGTTCTCCACTATTTGCATAGAGGCCCAGCCCTTCCCTGGGCCTCTTGTTCTATCTCAAGGTACAGGGGTCATTGGTTGTCATCTAGGCTGGGGTCGTAGGCTGAGCATCAAGTACATTTTGTGAATCTTCCTTGTAGCAGGCACTGCTGAACCCTGGATTCAGCTCAATGTGAGGCCAACACGGGCGCCCCCACAGAGCTTAAATCGAGCAGGGGGAACTGGCCCGTCCATGAATTATAAATAAGTTTGTAAACACCGTGGGCAAAGTGCTTCAAAAGATAACTGCCCAGACAACAGGGGACCCTTGCCTTGTCTGGGGTCAGAGGATACTTTTTTACAGAAGTGGCTTTGTAGCCAAGACATGAAGGAGAAATTACCCTTCACCAGGAAAGAAACAGGGAAGAATGTGTGGGCAGCGGAAACCCATTCTCCAAGGACCAGAAAGCGCAGGGAGTGTCCCAGGAGCTGAGAGCTGCCGCGGTGGAGAGTGAGAGTGAGGCCTAGGGAAGCCCCCGCCCTGGTGAGGCCTCCGAACACCCTGCTGATCGCAGGCCAGCCCTGTGCCGACCTGTCCCCTCTGACCTTTTCCAGAACGGTTCGACCATCACTGCCCCTGGGTGGGCAACTGTGTGGGGAGACGGAACTACCGCTTCTTCTACGCATTTATCCTCTCCCTCTCATTCCTGACGGCCTTCATCTTCGCCTGCGTGGTCACCCATCTAACGCTGCGTGAGTGGGCAGTGGCAGTGGGATTGCGGAGGAGCAGAGGGGCAGGCCAGCAAGCTCAGCCAGGCTGAGGGGCTGTAGTTGCCATCCCTCTGAGCGGTGTCCTCTCCTTTTCTTCCTCCCCAGGCTCTCAGGGAAGCAACTTCCTCTCCACTCTGAAGGAGACACCAGCGAGATATCCTTTGCCTTTTGTCTGCTAGTGGATGCCCTGGTGGGAACTGAGACCCCTTCACTGGGGCAGGTCCCCCACACCTCATTGTGTAAACAGGGGAGAATAGTGTAGAGACGATGTTTGTCCTCTAGAATCCAATGTACCAGCTGCATCTGTTCACACCCAGGCTTGAGCTGATCCTAGATGGGCTGTTGTGGGGATGGGGTGGCTGAGAACTCTCAGGGGCACAGTTCCTGTCTTCCCTTGAGACACCACGCTCCCTGGACCACCTCATGTCCATCACCCTGGGCTCATCGTGTTCTTGAGGCAAGCTCCCAAACTCTTCTTGGGACTCAGGGGGTGATGTTGCTGAGAAGTTGTGACTGGGCCGTGGGAAGGTTGCACACTTCGTTTCCTTCCTGGGGAAGGACAGGTGAGAAAGGCTCCCAGGCCTGGGGAGGCTCCCAGCCCTGATCCCAGCTGTGGGTCCTTGACTGCTCTGCTCACTGTGCTGGAGTTGGTGATCTGCTTCTTCTCCATCTGGTCCATCCTGGGCCTCTCAGGGTTTCACACTTACCTCGTCGCCTCCAACTTGACAACTAACGAGGACGTGAGTAGGGCTGGAGCAACCCCTCGTTCCTGGGCAGGACCCTGGGCAGGAGGCAGGGCTGGGGGAGCTGGCGGGGCAGCGGTGCATCCCCGTCTCTCAGACTGCTGCGGAGACATGGGTAGAGATGATAGGCAGCCAGACGCCTCCTTCCAGTGCTCGTGGCCTGGCCCTGGGGGAACCAGTGCCAGTGTCTGAGGCCCCTGTGTGCCTTGGCCCCTCAGTCCAGGTTCCCAGGGCCCCCGAGATGCTTCCTCCCTCACCCCACAGAAGCAGCACTCATGCCCCAACAGCCATTACATTTGGCCAGCATGTCATTGTTTCCAGAGTTCTTTCAGTTTCCATCATCTCTGAATCCTTTTGCCAACTCTGAGGCAGAAGGAACAGGGATGCTTTTTCTCCATTTGATGACTGAGTGACTTGCCCCAAGATCACGCAGCTAGGAAGGGATAGAGCCAGGGTTTCACCCGGAAGCTATAGCCATGCTCACTGTGCCCCGTTTTACTTGTAGGCAGCAGAGATATGACTGTTCTCAGGTATCCCTGGGGCTCCCTGGGCTTTCTTATGGGGGGGGCGGGCAGCCAGCTGATTTCTGAAACCGGATCGTGAGTCTCCATCTACCTTCCCTGCCTGCTGTCTTACAGAACCCCCGCCAACAAGCGTTGTTTAAGCACTCACTCTGTGCCCAGCTCTGGGCCGGGGTCTGACCTCCCCTTCCCGTTCTCCCGAACAATAGAAAAGCCAGTGAGAGCACCCATTCCAGGGCTGCCATCTGATGCTAAGAGGCCCATCAACCAACAGAATACATTTCTTGACCTCAGCTTCTCATTTGGGGAAACAAAACTCAACATGCATGATGAGGTATCACGTGCTGGGTGAAGGAAGGGTACAGAGTAGAAATGACATCAGCCAGCATCTCCCAAGGTGGTTGGTTTCCTGGGTGCTGGTTCTGTAGGATATCACTAGGAATTAAGCCAAGAGGACTGATATAGCCAAATAAATTTGGAAATCTGTGGGTTAAAGTCAAGCAGGAGTCCTTCACTGCTAAACTTCTCAGTGCCTTTGATAGCCAGCTTCACAGAGCTAGAGATGGGCAAGATATCATCTGATACTCCAACAGTGCTATCAGAGAGTTCATATCAGAGAGTTCTCCATTTTTCAAATGGGGATTCAGAGAAGAGGCGCTCTGTCCAGGGTCATGTAGTGAGTCAGTGGGAGGGCCAGTGTTCATAGTCAGAGAAGTCTGAGCCCTGTCTTGCCCTCCTCTTAGGTGGCTGGCCAGAGAAGGGAGAATGCACCCAAAAAGTTTCTTTTGGAGGCTTCTCTGGCTCTACTCTCTCTTCTGTCCCATTTGGGGCCTCCTCCTCTCTGCTAGGTGCCCCCAGCATCCAGAAGTCCCCCACATTCTCTCTGAATGGCCTGGGTTAAAGATGTATCCCCTCCAATAGTCTAGCTGGAATTGGTTTCAGAAATCAGCTGGAATTCGTCAGTTTTTTCCCCTGCCTCTAGACTTTCCTTCTAGAAGAGAAGAACAAAGGGAGTTACCTGACCCAGACTTCCTTCCTGCTTGCAGATCAAAGGCTCATGGTCCAGTAAGCGGGGCGGTGAAGCCTCTGTCAATCCCTACAGCCATAAAAGTGTTATCACCAACTGCTGTGCTGTGCTGTGCGGCCCCTTGCCTCCCAGGTGAGATGGGGTAACCCTGTGAATTCATACCTCTCAAAGAGGTTCTAGAACCAGCAGACCTCGCTCCACATCACAGTCCTCTCTGTCCACCATCCCCTGCTGAATGCCCTGAGTGCATCCGTCACATAAAGGAGTTCTATGGAGAGTTTTCATTTTTAATCACATGCTCATTGTAGAAAAAAAATTAAGTACAGAATATAAAGAAGATGCCCTGGCCCATGTGGCTCATTTGGTTGGAGTGTCATCTCATAAACCAAAAGATTGCAGGTTCACGATCAGGGGCACATGCCTAGGTTGAGGATTTGGTTCCTGGTCGGTCTGGCATGTAAGGGAGGCAACCAACCAATCGATGTTTATTTCTCTCTGACACCTTCTCTTCTCTCTGGAATGAATATATATACATATCAATTTATTTAAATAAAAGGAGAATATTAGATCTCACATGTAATCATACTCCCCAGGGATGACCACAATTAATGTTTTGGCCACGCTTGAGCAACGCTGCCCTTCTGGTGCTGTTGGCCAGACTGGGTGGGGCCTCCATTCTCCTCCCAGAAGAAAGCAAGTCCTGGTGGTTCATCCCTGCTAGGAAGCGCCCTGTCCGTCCTGACAGCAGGGGGCGCCAGAGTGCCAGACCGGGAGCTAAGTCGCAGTGGACACTGAGTACAAGACTTCCCATACTGTCCCCCTCTCCTCCCACTAATCCTGCCCCGGGGTAGGAATGATAGGAATTGCACTATCTCCAAATGCCCCTTCATCCTTACTTTTCCCCTTACTTGCAGCTTGGCTTCTTGGCAGTCACACAGAAGGGTGGACCAGTTTAAATTAACACTGAATAAATTCTGTGGCCAAAGGCTAGGTGCTGGGAGTGCAGAGAGGGCCCTTTTGGAAAGGAGGAGTCATGATCCCCCAGTGGGAGGGCAGCTGTCTTTTCCTCAGACTTTCTAGGGCTTGGACTTCCCCTGGCTGGGCCTCGAACTCTGCCATCCTCCCCCTGCCCGACTGCACACCCCCACCGCCCGTCTGGAACTCTGGTGTCAGACAGGGCCCTCATGTGCCCCCCTTATATTTTGGAAGCCTGATTGACCGGAGGGGATTCGTGCAGTCTGACACCGTGTTGCCCTCGCCCATCAGAAGCGACGATCCAGCCTGCGGAGCCAAGCCTGATGCCAGCATGGTAGGAGGCCACCCCTGAACCAGGCTCAGTACTTGCCAACTGCTGGCCTGTTTGCCCTTCTGCACTCACCTGCCACCCTCCACACCTGCTGGGATCCTTCCCATTCCACCCAAGCGAAGCAGAGCTGCCAAAGACTCAAGTCTTTTCGTATTTATTTCCCATCCTGCGTGGCTGCCCCTACACTGTTCCGTGGCTGTACCCTCTGCTCCCCAAACCCAGGTTCCCACGGCCATGGGCCTGAGATCCCCGCCAAAGCTGATCAGTGGCAGGAGTGACAGGATAGAGAGACCAGGGCCAGGCCACCCAGAGGACCACACCAAGTCTCTGTGCCAGGGCGAGCCCTGTGTGAGTGAGGGTGTGGACTGAGTGTGATGCCTCCCCTTTGGGGAAGCTGCTGAGCCCAACTGAGCTGGGGTCCTGGGGTGAGGCACGGCCCATGAGCAGCTGGCCCTGGACAGTGGGCTATGGGAGAGGATGCTTTCTTGGGCTGCTTTGGTTTGTGAGCTCCTTCATTCTTTTTATGATGATCATTGTTTTTAATTCAGTTTTTATTTTTTTGTATGGAGTTGATCCAGTATGATAGAGCTGGGTTCCAGGTAGAGGAGGCAGAGTTGGGAGGTGAGTAGAGAGGCAGCCTGTATCAGAGAGAGCCAAACCAGCCAGCCAGGCACCCAAGACCTCAGCTCCTACATGATTCCTGGGCAGCACACTAGGAAGTGGGGGGCCTTGCCCTTTCTCTGCCCGTGAAGGGTTCTCTATGGGATCCCAGCCTGGCCCCAATCTCTCTCCCAAGTCAAATCTGGGATGGGTAGATTATACTCATGCTGGCAATACTTGAAACGGGTTTATTAATGCTGGGTATTTTGCACAATTTTATAGACCTCTTTTCTACATAGCATTTTTAAATGGAAGAAGAAGAAAGAAAAAAAAAAAAAGCCAAATTGCTGTCTCTGTAGTGCCAGCTTAAGGGTTATCAGAAGGCAAGCTGGTTTTAATAAGTTTATTGCAAGAGACCTTCTGGCTGTGAATGAGAGTGTGTGTGTGCGTGCACACACATGCTAGCCCTTGTACAAATGTGGCTGGCTCCCACTTCCCCACATGCCCTGGGCTGTCCCCTTCCCTGCCATCGCCCTCCAGTGTAGGCTGGCAACAGCAGGAGCAGCCTGTACCATGGGGACAGGGAACGTGTATATTGGTTACTAGAGACCCCTAGGCTCCTGCTGTGGCTCAGCCCCTCCTGCTACCTTTGCGTCCTGCAGGGACTTCAGACAGCCAGTGGCTAGAGACTCAGCCACCCCTGACCCCACCCCTGCCACCCAGGCCCCAGGTGAGGCATCCAGCTGGGATCTGCCTAGACAAGCCGAGGCTGGGTGTGGTGGATGGGGTAATGGATGTGGGGAGCGGCTGCCATCCTACAAGCCACACCCCCTCCTCCAAGCCCTGAGTATGGGACCCAGTGCCAGGGGCTAGGGGACAGGGAATCTCTGCCAACTGGAGGCCTCTGTCCACAGAAAAGGAAGGAAGGAGCAGGGCTGAGGCAAGTGAAGATTGGCCTAAATCTAGGCCAGAGACTCAGAGGATGTCCCTCCTCTGCTGGGAGCTATAGTTTCTTGTCAAAATAGATAGGAAATGTCCCTTTGGCCCCCTCCTTGGCCCTTCAAGTGGGCTGAAGTCCTTGGAAAGTGACATAGGAAGTCCCCTCATCTTGCCCTTCCTTGTTCCAGAGGCTAGTGGGTCCCAGGCTGCTGCGAGATGGCAGCCAGCAAGGCCCCCTCTGGGACAGCTTTGCCCCAGCCTCAGCGCCCTGAGCCAAGCAGCAGTAGCGCTGTGGGGTGGGGAGGAAACTGGCTGGAGGAGGGGACTCCCATCTGCCTTTTATTTAAGCCAGTATTCTTTGTTCCTGCTTGTAATAAAACTTTTGTTTTTAAGAGTTGATTTGCTTTGGTTGGTTTTTGTTTGCTCACCCTTTGCTGAGGCCCCAAATGGCAGCTATTTAGTCTTTTAGTCACACTTGGTCTTTCCTGGGGAGACGGAGAAAAGGCAGGCAGCCCATAGACCCAGCTGAAGTTCTCTCCTCGCTGGAGTCTGTCTGCTGGAGGCAGAACAGAGGGAGCTGCAGCTAAGCCCTACAGGCGAGTGAGAAGAGGCCATTCTGTCCCCTGTACCTTCCCCTGCCTCAGGGTCTTGGAGACCCCCAAGCCCTTCTTCCTTGCTGTCTTTTTACTCTGACCCCCCAGTGACTGCTCGGCTAAGAAAATGTTTAGGAGATGGTAGATTGCAGTTTGAGAGCCAGAGCCTTCCTGATCCCCACCCCCATGTGGGCAGCAGAGCCCAGCCAGACACCTCATAACACTGGCCCACCTCTCTGGTATCTCCTCCAGGAGGACACCTGTCAGGATTTTGCCATCTCCTGCACAGCCTGAGGGGAGCTAACAGGCCTCTTTGCAGAGGGTTAGCTGGTAAGACCATGTATCTCCTGTCAGCCAGCACTGCCCACTCCCCTTACACACCCATCTCATTCTCATCGCATGCCTCGCCAGCCTCATGGAGCCCATTCGTTTGTCTGGTGTGCGGTGTGGTGTGTGTGCTGGCGGTGGTAGGGTCCCGAGGGCTCCCCGCTGAGCTGAAGGATGGGGGTGTGGGGCCGGGGCCAGGGCCAAGAGCCCAGCCCCGCTCCACATGAGGAAGTAGCTTCGCACACAGCAGCTCTCCAACTGGCACAGGAGGTAAAGGGTGAGGCTGGAGAAAGGATGGCATACCTGCTCTGAGGTGCTCGGGCCTGTTCTGGTGGTGTCCTGGTGTGCAGGGGCCCTTGATCACTAACATGTGTCCTGGCTTTCTGTCCCTCTGGAGCTTTCACCTGCCCTTTTCCCCTCCTGCTTCGTTGCCTGCTGCGGAATTTTGACCCATCTGTGGGAAGAAGCAGGTGCTATGGCACCCCTACAGGCCTCCTCTTTCCTTCCAATCCCGCTAACCCTCTCTCTTCTCCTTCTTTGCTGTCCTGCCTGGGATCTCCAGTGTGTGAAGGGGCTTAAGGACCTCCTGAGGACTGCGGCTCTCTGCCTCTCCAGGAGTGGCCTGGGGGGAGCCAGGCACCCGGCACCTCTACCTGCCTAACCTGTGTGGCCCATCTGCCACCATCTGTGCCTACAGGGTCTACCCCCAAGCCTGCCCCACACATGTGCGCTCTAGGGTCCCCCCACAGGGGGCAGGGGCTGGCCTCTTTGCCCCCATCCCTGCTCCATGCTGGCCGGAGTGTAGAAAAGCCATAGCGCAGCTGTCAGCACAACGGTGTATAATATTGTGCTGAAACTCGCCCTCCCCTCGTCCACCTTACTTTCCCTTCCCCAGATTTGTAAGGTGTCAAGACTCTTTAGGAATCTTGCCTTACAGCCTGCCTCCCTTCCACCCCGGAATCAGACATAGCCATAGTCGAGCTGAGCAGGTTTCTTCAGGAGCTGTCTGGGGTGTTCATGGTTGATGACGCTGCTGAACAAGTTTGGTAACTGTTAAGCACAACTGGTTTGACACTGTTCCCACGGCCCCCTCCACCCCCCAGCACCAGGGTAGGTAGGTTGCAAGGAGAATGCTTGTACCTTTTGCTCCAGGCACTGAGGGGCTGAGTTAGCTTGGACTGCCCCTTGTTCTTCAGAGGAACTAAAGGAAACCAGGGTAAGCTTCAGAAATCTGCTGGACCCACAGCTGGGGGCTGCTTGTCTGCTGTCCTGTACCTTTTTTAACCAAAATAAAGATGTCCCTCTTCTTGCCATACCCTTGGCTGTCTGGTGCCACCTTTACTTTGGGGTCTGGGGCGGGGCCTGCAATGAGTGTGCAAGAGAACTGCTGGCTCACAGCTGCCAGCTTTGTTGCAGTTGGTCAGTGCTATTTGGAGATTTTAAAAAGGCACATCAAAGCCAGAAGTGACATAGGAAGAGTGACCAGCATCCTCTACACTCTGCTCCTCCAAGAATTCCTGGTCTCAGTTCCAGAGACCTTCAAGCCTTAGCTGACCTCTGAACTCTGAAAAATCCCAGCCTAGGCTGTGACAGAGGGTTTGACTCCAGTCTGGGGCTGTCACACCCCTGAACTGAGCCCAGCCCAGGGTAACACTCTCATGGGGCCTTCCCTCCTCCCAGCTGCCTCCCGGCCTCAAGATGTGCACACAGTGTTCTGAGAGCTAAAAAGTAAAAAAATAAATAAAAATAAATAACTACTGCGGCCATTTAGCAAGGACTTGCCAAGTGCTAGGCCTGTTTTCTCATGTGAGCTATGAGGAAACCTTTTTACAGATGAGGGAACTGTGGCTCAAGGAAAGCATAGGAGTTTCCCAGGGTCTCCCAGCTGATAAAGTAGCAAATTCACGATTTGAACCTGAACTCTGCTCTGACCTCTGACCCTTCTGCACTACCCAAGGAATGAATAGGGCTGCTTCAGGAGGAGGGGATCTCAGAAGGAGAAACCCTAAAACTAAAGAATGTCACTCACAGCAAGCAGGGGGCTTGGAGATGATCTGCAGGGCCTCCTTGCACCAACAGAGAAACTGAAGCTTAGAGCCAGGAACCTGCCCAAGGCCTTATAACAGAGTTGGAATGCAGTCCCACACCCTGAACTCATTCCATTCTGTTTCTGAAAATTCCACACCATGTCCTAGACTGGACTGGTCTTGGAAATGTGGGATACTTTAAACAGTAGTGCCTTAAGAAGGAAAAGTGTCAAGATAGCTGACTCAAAATAATCTAACTCCCCATCCCCCCCACACACCAAAGACAACTGGTGGAGTGAGCTCTTGGCTGGATAACTGAACTCTGGTTCACAACTAGCCAGGGGGAGAAGATGCTGTAGCTTCTGTAGTCACCTATTTAGTTCGATCCTGCCAAGACTGGAAGAATTTCCTAGGAAATTTTTCCTGGAATCTCAACCAGAGTCCCTCCTGCTGCAAGCAGAGCCCTATCCCTGTTCTCATTGGAGATAGGCAGAAACGACTGTATTTTTCTGTGTGTACCACGCTCCCATGTATAATGCGTGTTCACGTTTTTGGCCCAAACTTTTAGGAAAAAAAATCTTTTGTTTCAATATTTTAATTCCATTTTTAATTTATTTATATTTAGATACTTGTATTTTTTGTATTATAAAGGAATTCTAACATCTGTTTTTTAACATATTATGGTACAAGAAATTTTCTGTCACAAATAGTTACAAAACTCAAGAACAGATAAAAGGTATTTCAGGTACCACCCATGTATGGTGGGCATCCTTATTTTTTCCCTCAAAAACTTGGGCAAAAAAGTGTACATTATACACGACAAAGTGCTGTAGTTGCTTTCTGCCTCCTCTGTACCACAACCCTTCAACGCCTGTTTACCAGCTAAGAAGGATTGGTTGTCTGTGGGATCAGAGGCCATAAGCCTGCTGGGAGAATGGATATTATACAGAAGGGTGGGAGGTAGTAGGCAGGATGAGGAAAGCCCCTTTGGGCTGCAGCCCCAGCTTCTGTGCTGCTGACTCAGATGGCTGACTGGAACTCTGTGCCCTGCTGGGGCCTGCTGCCTCCCGCCTGCCTGGGCTTCTGGACTTGGGAAATGGAGGCCTGGAGGCAAAGGGAGGTGCCTGAGACAGGAACTGAGTCAGGATCAACAGGCCAGAGCGGGCAGTGGAGATGTCGGGCTGCCTGACTGTCAGATTCAGCGGGAGAGAGAGAAGAGTGAAGGGGCTTCCCATCTGTGTCGAGGGCATGGAGTTTGCCGGTGCCACCTGCCACCAGGCCTCCTGGCTTGAGTGATGAAAAGGAGCATGTTCACTCCCTACAGACAGAAATAGCTCCAAAATTACCAGGCCCTACCTCCCAGGTTTATGCTGTTCTGGGATCTCCAGCTTTCTCCCATGACTTGGAAAGCCTGGACTGGGTGACTACTCAAAGGAAGGTCCCTGAGGGCCCAGGGCCCTGCATAGGGCCGGAGGAATGTCCAAGATGGAGAAGGAGGAGGCGGTATTGAGTGAGCACATCTGACCGTTCATCCATCTTCTTTCCCATGTGGGCACCCAGCTGAGCAGGCTCTACCTGGTCTTTGACTGAGACCTGGTGTGGGGCCCTTCCTCATTTCAGAGGCCCCGGTTCCATGTTCATGCTGTGAGTGTGTATGCTTAGAATAATAAAGTTGTCTTTTTTTTCACGTAATAATAGTTATCATCCACTCGAATAAATGCGTTCAATCAACTCATTTAACCCTCCCAACAAGCCCCATTTTACACTTAGGAAAACAGGCTCACAGAGGCTAAGTCACTTGGCATAGGCCACAACAGCCTGTAAGAATTGAACCCAGCTGGTCTGATTCCAAAGATACTGGCTATTCTGTCTCTCAGAAAAATATTGCACATTCATGATTGGTAACTCGAGAATACAAAAAGGGAAAACAATCACTCACAGTCTCACTACTTAAAGATGCCCTCTGTAAGTTGCATTTCCTTTCCATCTTTTTCTGTCTGATTTAAGCAAAGCCTTCAGGATATCAAGCCCAAAATTCCTTCTGCTTCCTTGGGAAACCTGTAGCATCAGCCCAGATACGTCCCTACTTTTGCTCCTAAGGGGCAGAGCTCATCCTTGGGCCTAAGCCTCCCTCTCTCCAGAAGGGGAGGATGGGTATTCACACACCAAGACAGACACGAACTCGGACTCGGGGAGGGACAGGCCTGTGAATTGGCCCTGGCTCCAGGATTAAGCTGGCTGGATCCCGGTGAGGAGAGCCCCACCCTGAGCCCCACCTGAGCTTTAGCTAGGGGTGAGGCAGATAAGCAGGAACCCATCTTCATGGGCACAGTGCCGACACAACTCTTGGCTGCATAAGGACAGCACCCCAGCTAACAGGGACAGAAAGCTGGCAACAGAGACCTCTCCATCTCTGAGGCCTCTGACAGAGGTCAGAGGTGGGGCCATGGTCAAAGGAAGGGGCAGGAAAAACTCTGAGAGGCAGGCTATGGGAGGCAGCGCTCAGCTGGGACTGCTGCCCCATAAAATAGAATGATGTGTGTCATCGCCACCTCCTTTTTCTTGGTCCCATCTCTCTCCCCAGTTGCTAGCGTCCCCCCTGGGGAACCAAACTGGGCTGAGCACCCAGGTGGCCTGCTTCCCAGCCTCTGACAGAGGGTGAGCTGAGTCAGGCAGGAAAGTGGGGCAGCCAGCAAGCTGGGCCCCCACCCTTTGTGAGCCCCACTGATACAGGATGGCTGGCGACTTGGAGGGGGCAGGTGACCTGGCGTGGAGAGCCAGAGGGTAAGTCCTCAAACAAGTGGCAACAGGCCACCAACTTGAAAGGGAAAATTGTGCTGTGATGGGAAAGGTGTCCAACAAACCTACTGGGTGACTAATTACAACGGCTGGGCTGGAGCGTCAGAGGCTGCTCATTAAATACCTCATTAAGTGGCACCCTGAAAACTGCCACCTGTGCATTCTGGGAGTTCAGAGGGGACAAGACCCTAAGGGGGAATGAGGATGGGGGATGGAACCATTTCAAGAAGCTTGGATCTCACTTCTAAATACATCCTGGAGCTCCCAAGTCCGAGGCCTTCATGGGAGAGAAATCAAAGGAAGTAGAATGCAGGGGACTTAGTAGCTGTGTGACCTTGAGCAGATCTTATCCCTCTCTGAGCCTTAGTATTCCTATCTCTAAAGTAGGGTAGTAGTCACATTCTTGCCCCCCTCACAGACACAGTAAGGGTTAAATTAGATAATGGATATGGAGGTGCTCGGGGAAACTGCAGAGACCTACCTAAACATGAATGATCTCGCCTGAACCAAGGGGAGAACCTATCTGGCAGGAATAGGAACACCATCCTCCTGCACCTGGGTTTATGGGGTCTGCCTAGGCTGATGCAGCCAGGTGGCTGAAGTCATCCTTAGCCCCTGGAAGGACACCGTGAAGGAGAATACGATTTGAGAAAGTGGGGCAGCTACCTAATGTAGGCGGGCACCCATGTAATAGAGCCTGGAAAGGTGCTTGTGCAGGTGGGGCCAACGCCCAGACTTCTCCTGCTGACTGTCCGGATGACTCACCCCACATCCCAGCCCTTTTACCTTTAAGGAAGACCGGAAAGGGTGTGAGAAGAGCCGAGGGAGGGAGGTCCAGGTCCCCAGTCCCGCCCTCTGCCCCTCCCTCCCCACCCTTCTCTGGGCCAGTCCGTCCAGCCAAAAGGCAGGCAAGGAACTGGAGAGGCACAGAACCCAGCTTGATCCTGAGGCAGCCAGTTAGCCCAACACCTGTCTGTCTGTCTGTCCCCAGAGCCATGGAGAGAGCAAGTCTAATCCAGAAGGCCAAGTTGGCAGAGCAGGCTGAACGCTATGAGGACATGGCAGCCTTCATGAAAAGCGCTGTGGAAAAGGGTGAGGAGCTTTCCTGCGAAGAGCGAAACCTGCTGTCAGTGGCCTACAAGAATGTGGTGGGTGGCCAGAGGGCTGCCTGGAGGGTCCTGTCCAGTATTGAGCAGAAAAGCAACGAGGAAGGCTCGGAGGAGAAGGGCCCAGAGGTTCAAGAGTACCGGGAGAAGGTGGAGACTGAGCTCCGGGGCGTGTGCGACACCGTGCTGGGCCTGCTGGACTCCCACCTCATCAAGAAGGCTGGTGATGCCGAAAGCCAGGTCTTCTACCTGAAAATGAAGGGTGACTATTACCGCTATCTGGCCGAGGTGGCCACCGGTGACGACAAGAAGCGTATCATCGACTCTGCCCGGTCAGCCTACCAGGAGGCCATGGACATCAGCAAGAAGGAGATGCCACCCACCAACCCCATCCGCCTGGGCCTGGCCCTGAACTTTTCTGTTTTCCACTATGAGATCGCCAACAGCCCTGAGGAGGCCATCTCACTGGCCAAGACCACCTTCGATGAGGCCATGGCTGACCTGCACACCCTCAGTGAGGACTCCTACAAAGACAGCACCCTCATCATGCAGCTGCTTCGAGACAACCTGACTCTGTGGACGGCTGACAACGCTGGAGAAGAGGGGTGTGAAGCACCAGAGGAGCCCCAGAGCTGAACCACACCGCTACCCTCCCTGCCCTGCCCTGCCTGCTCCTGTCCCCCACCCCTAGCAGAGAGGACTAGTATGGGGTGGGAGGCCCGACCCTTTTCCCTAAATGCTCTGCCCCAGCTCAGAGAAGCTCCATAGAGAGGGACCAGCGGAGTCGGGCCTCCTGGAACCATTGGATCCCACTCTTCTGGCGCTGTCGGGTGCTCACCCAGCCCTGCTCTCTGCACCCCCTCCTTGAGACCCCACCCGTGAACCAGGTCATTTCCTTCGCCCTCTTGACTCCTTCCTGCCCCTGCTGCATCTGGATCTTAGGAATTGAGGAGTGTCCCACCCTTGTGGCTGAGATGTGGACTGTGTGGCAGAGGCTGGAGATGAGTGTGTTTGTGTGTGTGAGAGAGAGAGAGAGAGAGAGAGAGAGAGAGAGAGAGACCCAGAATGAGAGGGAAAGCATGTCTGCTGGGTGTGACCATGTTTCCTCTCAATAAAGTTCCCTTGTGACACTCCTCCTGTCTTTTCCACTTATTGGCGGAGGGCTGGGACTAGTATTGGTGTATGCTTTACAGAAAACCTGATTTTGGCCCCCTGACTTGGGGCCCTAACTTCCTACGGGGCTGGCTTAGTGACCCGCACGCAAGACTTTGGGGCCGGTGACTCCAGGTGAGAAGCTGGGGTCCGGCGCTCTCCGCCAGGCCCCAAACAAACAGGTCTGGTCCGGGGAGGGTCAGGTGAGCGCAAAGGTGGCTCTAAGGCTCTTCTGCTGAAGAGCTCAGATCTGAGGGGGCAGGAAACCAGTGAAGCCTCAGGTATAAGGTTTGAGGACGGCGCCGTACGAATATGCTGTAGTGAGCAGCATTGAGCCCCCCTCCGCCCCCCCGATTTGAAAGCGGGGGATAGTCCGATCAGGTGCTCAGAACTGAGAGGCGGGAAGTACGATCTGGGGCAGAATGTGACGCCACCATTAAAAAACCCAGTTCTGAGGAGAGGAGAACGCACTACAGCGTTCGCAGACGGGACAAAATGGAACGGGCTGGCGGAGAGAAGGCGCTAGCTGGGTGGGCAGAGCCTCGGAAAACTGAGGTCCGCCCCCGCGTTCGACCCCCGCCCCCCGCCGCCTACCCGCCGGGAAGCAACGCGCCTAGCCCGCTGGGTGCCGGCTGAAGGCGGGCCCGAGGCCAATATTGTCCAGTCACGGGAGGGGGCTGCTCGAAGTACTGGCCAATGGGAGGGTGAGCGGCGGCCGCGCGCCCGCCTTCAGACGCCCACGGGCTTTGCGGACGCCGAGACTCCCTTGCGGAACTGAGGATCTCTCCAGGCCCGCCGAGCGCCGAGGGGAGCGCTTACCGGGTTTCACTCAAACAAGTTGCTACCCGCCCAGCCCGGGATCTAGGATCCGCAGAGCTGCGAAACGGGGCGGTCCGGAAAAAGCAGCAGTCCCCTCCCTTTGAGTCATCTGCTTGGGTGCCTGGCCGGCAGGGCCAGCTGGGAGAAGCCACCAAGGGGTCCACACCACACGCCAGATTCCAGGCAGCCCTGAACTAGTAGTGGCCAGGAGGCTTAGATTGTGTTGTGGGACCTAGACTTGGTTGTGGGACCTTGGAAAAGCCATTATACTTTGCTGGGCCTTAGTTTCCCCTTCTGTATGTAAAGGGCCTTGAACTTAAGGATCTCGAAACCTGAAGAATCTGAGTTCTGGAGTCAAACCGCCTGGGTGGGCTAACTCCCGTCCTGCCTTGGCCAAGGTCCTTAACGTTGCTTAACTTTTGTGCCCTCGTTTATAAAGTGAGGATTAAAAAATAGTACCTTCCTCTTAAGAGTTGCTGTGAAATTTGAAAAAAATAAATGCACTTAGAGTAGTTCATAGTACATGTTAGCTATTAATCCTTCTAGCATCTATAATAGTCTAGGATTTATCCAACATTTCTGTGCCAAAAGCAGAATCATCAGTCAGGCCCAGTCTTGAGGAGCAGCTTTACTGCCAAAGCTGACCTGCGTGCTCACTTGAAAATTGGGGCCCCTGAAAATTGCTGGCGTGACTGCAGGAGCTCAGTCCAGCCTCATCAAGAGTCCAAGTTTGGCCACACCCATGGAACTCAAAATTGAAGGGCTCTTATCAGAGTTAGTAGTTCTACAGGGGAAATTGGCAGGACCACTGTAATGCCTTCTGAGTCCCCTATTTTCTCCTCTCCTTTCCTGGAAGTGTGTTGGATTCCCAAATCAGGCAGAGACTCTGGACTAGGGCAAGTGACTCCCCCTCCGCTCTGAAAGTGACCCAGTTTCTCTTACCAGACAGGTCTGGTAACTTTCTCTTAATGGGATAGGTTTTGGGAAAGGAACTTCTTTATTTTCTCTCAGCCTCTGACTTTGCCTTCTCTCTCTACACCACTTGCTGTTGACCTATATGGAGAAAGAAATGAGCATGTTGGTGTTGAAGGATTTCAAAAGCATATGGTGTGGATTAGAACACCATCAAATCAGATGGCTAAATGTGAGTTGGTTTAGGCAACAGGTCATGAGGGTCACAGACCTTTTTATCTTTGACTTAATCTCTGTAAAGCTTTCTTACTGTTACCCAGAGTGGGGTTTCAGTGAGCATTTCTTGCCATCTTTTCCTGGCCTAGATTTGCCATTTTAGAAAGTTCAGTCCTACTGCTAATGGGTACAGAGGTTTTTTTGGAGCAATGAAATGTTCTGGATTAAATTGTGGTGATATTTGCACAACTTTGTGCATACATAAAAAATACTGAACTGTACACATTAGAAGGATGAATTTTATAGTATGTGAATTTTATCTGTTTAAAAATCAGTCCCAGAAGGCAAAGCAGGTAAGAACGCCAATCAAGTTCCCCTGGAAATTTCATGGTGGCCATTCTCCCATTCCCATCATCCTCTCCACGGGAGCACACTGCTGTAAGCTTTTCCAAATTTCAAAGCCCATCTCCGGGTCAAAACACGACTGACCAGTTTCCCTCTCCCTTCAATACATTTACAGAGCTTTGGATATGCACTATTTTACCATCTCCTTTCCTTTATATAGGTGCATTTATTCAGCTATGACTTCATAGCTACTTGATTCTATCTCTGGGTTTGCAGCTATGTCCTGTGTTTATTTCTTGTCTCCTCAGAGAGCTCTCTAAAAATAGTAACTTTGTCCCATTATTCATCCTTTCTTCCCACTGTGTCTCCAGGAAGGTTTTGTGCATAGGAAGGTGCTCCAAACTCAATTTTAAAACCATCCTTCCAAGTGCCTGGAAATCTGGTTTAGTGCCAGATCCTGAGTTGTGGAAATGGAAATACAGCTGGTTCTGAGAGGAGGCAGGACTATAGACAGAGGTTGGCTCACAGAGATTTAAATAATCACAGCCCTATCCTTATAGGCTCAGGGTTTCGAAGATCATCCTCTCTTAAGAATTTGACTGGTATGGGGAAAATTTGCAACCTAAAATTTTCTAGAGAAGATACTCACTCTTAACTGGCTCCATAGATCCACAGCAGTGGGTGATGGAGGCAAGGCATTGGATTCAATGTGCCTTCTCAGAACCAACCAGGCATCCATCATAGGGAGGCCAAGGCACTGGGGGTAGGCAGGCCACTGTGGCTCCTTCCAGAAAGGCAAGATACTCTTACTACTAACACACACACAGATACACACAACCAGGGTCCAACTGTCCAGTGCCTTTTTGGGAAAACCTGAGTTCAGAGGCTCACACCAAGATTATTCTGATCAACAGGGCCCCACTCCTGCTTCTTCCTAGAGAACAGAGTACTGTAACAATAGTAGTGGGCATAACTGCTGTTATCACCTTTGTTTTGCAGATGAAGAGAATGGGCTCAGTGTAGCTCAATAACCTAATAACCAAGGTTATACAACTCTTGATGTGCCTGGAGAGTGGAATAGATCTGACTCCAAAGTCTGTGGTTTTTAACTACAACAGTTGTTTTCAGAGTGTGTTCAGAGGGTTCCCCAGAAGTTGCCACAAGGCAGGAGCCCAGTGGTCAGGGTTTCTCATTTCCACAAATGGCTAAAATAGCCACATGTATGTCTATATTGTATATTGGAGTTACATGAGTTAAAAATAAGTTTGAAAAGAACCACACTGTGCTATGCTGCCCTATTCCTAAGAATCAAGAAAGAATTATTCTACTCTCAGTCTAATGCCACCCCAGGGCCCGGCAAAAAGTTATTGTCTTAAATGAGAAAAAACTGTATAGTGGACCAATTTTCTGGCTCATTCACCAAGTTAAGCTTTCCTTAATCTGGTTACATCTTTTGTTCCTTTTCCATTCTTCACCCTGTTCACAGGGCCTACCCACCCCACAATCCTTGCTGTGTGTAGGGGATGAGGAAGGCAGGTTTTTGCAGGGTAGGTGCCCCTCCTCCCACCCCCCAGCCCCACCTACTCACTGATTCAGGGGCCCGGAATGTCTGTGGGGGCAGTAGACAGGTATGTCACCCTAGGGGTGTCTGAGGATGATTCATCTCTCCACCCAATCTTCTCCTTACTGCTCTCTGGGAAATTTAACTCTTTATTTGTCTAGAGATAAAAGGAGATCCCAGACTCTGAACTCACGGAGTCTTCAATCTGTGGCTAGGTACAGTACTTAATACATCAGATTATGGTATCCAAGAAATATATGTTGAAAGAGAAGGAGGAACGGTGGAAGGGAAGGAGGAAGGGAGGGAGGAAGACACATTTTCTCCCCTTTCTTCCTCCAGAATAAAGTTAACCTGAAATTTCCTTGTCTGAGTGTAGAGGGGACTGATTTTTAACTCAGAATAGATTGTGAGACCACAATCTATTCTGGTGTGCTTTGAGTTGGGAGAAATCTTACCCATGTCCCAATATCCCTTCTGTGATGTTTATATGATTCCACAGAGCAATGTGGAATCTCCAGGATTAATATACAGGAAGAGGCCACCAGTCAGTGTGAAGGGAGCTGTATTTGCACAGTAAGCACACTTCTTGAGATTTTGTTTATTTGGGATGGCTTTGAAGGGGCCTTTCATCTCCCTCTTCCACACTGCTTCAAGGTTTTGGATGGGGAAATTTAAAACTTTGTTATATATTCCAGTCCAGAGCATTTTTATCAATACTCATCTTTTTTCACTTTAGTTGGACTCCAAATCCTGGGCCTACCCCCTCACAGATCCTCACCTGAACTCCTGGGGCTGCCTGAAGTTGGCTCCCCGGTGGGAAATGAAGGCCATAATGGATCGTAAATGAGACTTATGACTTCCCCTGTCCTCAATAGGCCTGATGACATTGAAATATGTGCTAACTTGGAATTCGTCCTTCTAAAAGGAACAGAAAGTGGATGTGGGCAGCCCAGACCAGGCTCCATGGAGCCTGGGGCCCAGGCCAGGAAGGGCTCCATGGCCAGGAAGGGCTCCATGGCTGCGGCAAGAGCGAAGAGAAGGGAAAGGAAGGGAGCTACTCCGCTTGCTAGAGAATTTCCTTCCAGGAGTCTGGGGGCAGTTGGGCCTCCGCACTGCTTTAAAAAGCTG